AATAGTGCCTTAGCATCAATGCGGGTGGCAGAAAACATACCATCTAATTTTATTCAAAAGCAGGCTATCCCTAGATCCCGTCTCCCCATCCCCCAACCCCCTACCCCAGCTAGCCTGGAACTTACTATTTACACCAAGTTGGTCTCAAACTTGCTAAAATTCTGTTACCTCTGCCTCTGAGTGCTGGGAACACAGACATAGGCCATCATATCTGGCTACAAAGTTGACTTTAAGTGTTTTCATTAGTTTGAAACTTTCTTTGGACCAGGAATCGAACCAGGGCCTCACACACAGTAGGCTAGTATTCTACTTGAACCCTACTGAAAATGCTTCTGGTGGCCTGTTACATGACTTTCCTGGGGAGACAGATGAGAAATGTCTGTTTACCTCAGATAGGGAAACCCAAAAAAGAACTTATCAAACCATGGAGAGGTAAATGAACATGGGGGGTTTGCAGGAGCCTGAGTGGCCCATGAACAGCTACACTGCCCAAAGGTCCCATCCCCATTGAGTTTCTACCTCCTACATTCTTTAATATTTTTAAGATTATAGCTATATGAACAGGAGGGAGTAGCGGTTGAAATCTCAGGAGCGGGTCAGAGGTATTATGGCGATCTCGTGACTCTTTTCCTCGAGCAAGTGGGTTCCACTTCCTTAGGCCCACTAACTCTGCTATGTAGGTCTGCAGGCTGAGGTCTTTCCTAGGTCATCAGAGCTGCTGTGCCCATGATGGCGACTGTCGTGCCAAGCCCAGAATGAAGAATTCCTGTCCAGTGCTTAACAGTTCTGGAATCTGTTGTATTGAGACTGCTCTCTGGTCATATTCATGCCACAGCCAATGTTTCATCTAACTCAGAGCGCCAAGGGAAAACAGTAGGTATTAGTAAAAACATACAGGATTGCATATATATGCAATTATGTGTATATGTGTGTGTGTATATACATATGTATATGTATGTGTGCAAGTCATAATTTAAAATTCTGTAGTGGAAGTCACTGTGGGTTTTTTTTTAGACCAACAAACTGAGAACAAGGTCACACAAAATAACTTAGTACAGATTTATGCAAAAAGGTGGCTATGCACAGAGAAGCCAGGAATTTGGATACTTGTGAAGATTTAATTGGTTTATTTCTCAATCTAGACAGCACTAGAATAGAACAGCTAAATCTGAGAACATACAGAACTATCTGGGAATTCAGTGTGCTTGTCTTTGGTGGTGGTGGTGGTGTGTGGTGTGTGTGTGTGTGTGTGTGCGCGTGTGCGCATGTGCGCGTGCGTGCGCGCATGCATGTGTGTGTGCTTCGGTTTTGTTTTTTGATGGGATCTGTGATTGAATTCAGTCTTGTGTGTGCTAGGTAAATCCTCTGCCACTGAGCTACATTCCTCCCCCACCCCTTTTTCCCTCTAAACTCAGCATTATTCTTTTGACCAAAGAGTTTATCAGCATTTTAAGATTGTAAAGCATCCATATGAGTCATTGGGTTAAATATTTACTGTAGTGCTTTCCTAATAGGGATTCTACATTCTGAATTCTTATTTTAAAATAGCACATAAAAGCAAATATTTTATAAATTGGCTCTGGGTGAATACACTAGTAAATCGTTTTCATGTCAAGGTTCATTTCATATCTGTGTGAATCACCAACATTAATATAAGCAGGAACTGGACCTGTTTGCACAGGCCTGAACTCCCAGCTATTTAGAAGGCTGAGGCAGGAGGATTCCAAGGTTAGGTATTACTTGGGCTACACAGTAAGTTCAAGATCAGCCTGGACGATGTAGTAAGACCCTGTCATAAAATTAAAAACTATAAAAAGGACTTGGAAAATCCTCAATGGCACAGTGCATCTTTACTGTGTATGAGGCCCACTGTTTTGTTCCAGGACTGCAAAAACAATACTGCTACTAATGATAACAGTAATTAACAGTGGGGTCAGAGGAATTGTGCATTGATAATTACAGTGCACCCTGGCTTGTGTTTGTTTTTTTAATGAGATGTCAAAGGAAGCTGTGAATCAATTAATGTAGATAAAGAGTATCTACATATAATACATTATTGGGGTACATAGTGGGTTATGTCATTTTCCTTGTTTATACAATTTTTGCTTCTTGCATCCCTAAGTAAGACATTTGTTGCTATTGAGTATTTTAAAGTTTTTCTCTTTTTCCTACAAAAGAGCTGGCAATGGTTACCACAGACATTCAGGTTTTCATTAAACAAACGGTTATCTTTTAAGTGAGATAACTCTGGATCTTTATTACATTTATTAATTTACTTGTTTATTTATCTGTGTGGGGTGGGCATGGAGGGGTTCCTGTGTGCCGTAGTGCATGTGTGGAGGCCAGAGGACATCTTACAGGGGTCATTTCTCTCCTTCCACCATGTTGGTCCTGGGAAGGAAGCTCAGGTCATTGGGCTTGGCAGCAAGCGTCTTTACCCACCGAGCTATCTCCCCTGCTCTTAAACAACCTTTGCAGACTACTCCAATTTTAGCTATGCCTACTGGCTCACACCTGTAGTTACAGCACTCAAGAAACAGATGCAGGGGGATTGCTGCAGATTTGAGGCCATCCTGGGCTGTGTGATGAGGACCAATTCAGTCAGTCCTATAGGCAAAACCGCATCTCAAAAATAAAAATTTAAAAGTCCCTCCTGCTGTGGGATATCTTTCTGTATGCTGTGAATATGTTTCATTACCACTGGTTAATAAAGAAGCTGCTTTGGCCTATAGCAAGACAGGTTAGAGCCAGGTGAGAAATCCAAGCAGAGATACAGGAAGAGCAAGTGCAGAATTGGAGGAGATGTCAACCATCTCCAAAGGAGCAAGATGTATTAGAATACAGGTAAAGCCACGAGATATGTGGCAAAACATAGATTAATAACAATAGGTTAATTTAAGTTGTAAGAGCTAGTTAGTAGTAAGCCTGAGCAATAGGCCAAACAGTTTGTAATTCATATTAAGTCTTTGAGTGATTATTTTAAAAACAGGTGCAGGGCTGGGCAGGAGAGAAAAGCCTCTGTTTACACCCTCTGAATTTGACTACCTGAGATATGTTTTCAGGGTCAAGAGAACAGTGAACCTGATTTTAATCTGCTGAGTGCTGGCGCTATTTCTGCCAGGACTCTATTGGGTACCTTGTCTTGCATCTTCCTCAATAGGAACAAAGTTGAGCCATTCCACTTGAAGATCCCTTTATGATTCCCTGGTTTTAAATTATGTTGAACTTTAAAATTCTTTGGGTCTGATATTGACTTGGATTTTTCCTCTGTATCTTCTAAAATAAGTATCTAGTATGTGCTGATTATTTTTCAGTTAGTTTTTAAGGAATTTTGTTTTTTACCAAAAGCTATAGGTAATCTCTCCACTGAATTTCCAAAGCATTTGAAATAAAATTTCTTAAGAAATTTGAAGTTTCTCCTACCTCTATGTCCCCAAGTGTGGGGAGATAAGCATATTCCACCATGCCTGATCTGTTATTGATTTTTAAAAATAAGTCTATTGAACTATAGTTCATATGCTATATAATCCATCCATGTAATGTATACAATTTGAGGCTGAGGAGAGAGTTCAGTCAATAAACATATTTGCTGTGCAATCACAACATCTGAATTCAATCCTGACCGCTAAAGTTTAAAAGCCTGGTATGGTGGCTGTAGAAATCTCAGTGCTGGGGAGGCGGAGGCAGGTGAATCCAGGTGCTCACTGGCCAGCCCACCAAGCTCGATGACCTGGTTCTAATCCCCAACTTCTACATGGCAGAAAAAGAGAACTGACTCCCATAGTTGTCCTCTGACCCCCACGTCCACACCACGTGGCATGCGCATGTTTCCCCTCCATACACAAAGAAATAAACACAACAATAATAATTGTTTAAAAGTAGCAGGTGATACCTGATTAATGACCTCTGGCCTCTTTATGCATCCAGTGTTTGAACACACATGTGTGCCCACACACATGCACATGCATACAAACACACATAGAAACAAACAATAAAACGTACAGTTCAGTGGTTTTTTTTTTTTTTAACGTATTTGCAAAGTCATGCCATCAGTCACGGGCAATTTTAGGATAATTTCACCGAGTCAGAGTCCATTATTTTGTCTAATACCTCCCTCCCAGCCCCCGTGGTGCCCCACAGCCCCAGAGAAGCCCCTGTTTTGAATATTTCATCTGACCAGAATGGTGTAAGGTTGGGCTCTCATGAGTATTGTTGAAACTCTGTGGGTTTATAATTATTTCAGAATAGAAAATTGAAAACTATGAGGCTGTGGCTGTACCTTATAGATCATCTGGTGTGCATGAGCAAGGCTCTAGATTTGGTCCCCAGACTGCAGAGAGAGAGGCGGGGGGGGGGGGTATTTCTTGGTTTATTTATTTATTTATTTATTTATTTTACAAATGAATTGATGGCCAAAGATGTGGCTTAAACTGCATGCAGGGGCACAGGCCTCTAATTCCAGCTCTCGGGAGACAGGCGGAATGATCAGGATTCCAAGGTCATCTTTGACTGTGTACAGTGCGTTTGAAGTCAGCCTGGGCTACAAAAGTATCTGTTTCAAAAAGAAAAGAAAATGAATTGAAGAAGTGTTGGTGTGGGACAGACACGCGCACTGTTCTGAATCCTGAGCGCGCGTGGTTACATGAAGCTGGAATAGAAATCCAGTGTGTTAGATAGAAAAACAAAGAACATGAACAATAAGGGTGAACAGCAAGGTGAGTGATCCCATGGGGGCCGGGGACACCAACAGGACACCATAAAGAGAACTCAGGTTGGGGCTGACGTCAGGGACTAATTCACAGAGGAGCTGGCTACCAGATTCTTTCAATGCCTGTCATGTGAGAAGAATTTGGGACCGCATGTGGGCACCGCGCAGGTGCACGTGGCGTCCGCGTAGTCTCTTTCCTGGGACTTTTGCCCCTGTTGGCTAGAGCCTTCTGGCCGCCTTGCTCTCTGGCCAGCATGCCACACATTCCTCATGGCGTGTTTCTTCAACCCAGTGTCCAACAAGCACCCGTTTGTGGACAGCAACCTCCTCTACCAGTTCAGAATGAACTTCCGTCGGAGGCGAAGACTGATGGAGCTGCTCAGTGAGAAGTCCCCGTCCTCCCAGGAGGCGCACGACAGCCCCTTCTGCCTGAGGAAGCAGAGCCACGACAATCGGAAATCCACCAGCTTTATGTCAGGTAGGCCGGCTCTGTTGTGCACGCATGCATTTTTGTCTTCTGAGAAATAATGAAGAGCGGGGCTGGGAATATGATTCCTTTGGTGTACGACTTGCTAACGTGCTGGAAGCCCGGGGTTTAATCCCCAGCACCACCCAGGTTCGGTGTTGCATGCCCGTGTATTTCAGAACTCACGAGGTGGAGGCAGGAGGATTAGGAAAAAAAAATCAAAGTTGTGCTCCACTACAGTATATTAGGTCCACGTGGGTTACATGAGACCTTGTGTTAAAAATAAACACTCACTTGCATACTTCTGTACAGGTGCATGTATCTGCGCACAGACATACACACACACACACACACACTCACCAAATACAGAAGGGTGAATTGTTTAAAAGGATCTCCAGCTCCCTTGACACGGATGCAAGGAACTTGTTGACTTAAAGTTCAGAAGCCCTGGGTGGGTGTGGAACCTGTCATCCCAGCCCTTGGGAATGGAGGCAGAAAGTCAAGGTCAGGCTTGGATCTGTAACTTCTTGAGATCCTGCCTCCAAAGGAAGCGAGGAAAAGAGGGAATGGGAAAGGAGAGGAAGAAAGTAAAGAAGGGAGTGGGAAGGAGAGGAGAAAGGGAGGAAAAATAAAACAAGCACTGAGTTTAACTCAGCCCCAAATAGATTGGTCACGTCTTGCTTCTGAACAGGAACTGACAACGAGGACCTGTACCCCTGTGCCTCGGGCTTGGCTGTGTGGCTTTTCTCACCTAATTCTTACAATAGCCCCGAGGAAACGGTTGTTCCTCTCCTCCTTTCTCAGATGAAGAGAACAGTCCCGAGCATTGGAGCGTCTTATAAATGGTGAACATATCTTCCTCTCAGCCATTCGTCTTTAGCCCCCCTTTTGAGACCCCTGTTTCCCAAAGTCCTCATACACAGCCAGGGCTCAGACTGAAAATGAAGCAAGAGCTGCTAAGTAGAAAATAAAAACCAGCTGAAGGTCAGCAGCCCATGTCTGTGCTCCAAGGTCATTTGGAGACACAGCCGTCTTCTGTGGGTGCCGAGTAGCAATTCATCCTTCCTGCTTCTGGGATAGTGTACTCCTGGAATGCCAGCGTTGGATGTTTGCTTGTTTGCTTTCCACGAGCCAGTCAGTGGCCAGAGCAGCGTCCCTTCACTCCTTCACCTCCAGGCCTTCAGCACCACCCTGCTCTGCGGCAGGCAGAGCCAAACCTGAAAGCTGAAGAAGACTCTGTCTCTCGTAACCGTTTGAAAGCCTCAGTCTGCGCCGGTTTAAGCGTTGTCTTCCATGCTTCCCGATGGTGTCATTAAATCAGGAGTCATCTGCTACTCCTGGGGAGGGAAAACTTGGCTTTGGTAGTTCTTGGATTCGTGTCCTATAGCAGCTGGGGAGATGGGCCCTGTTAATAAACCCAGATAACCTGCATTTAGATTCGCAGCACTCAGATAAAGGGTATGTTAAGATTTTTTTTTTTTTTTTTAAAGATAAGGTATGTTGTCATGTCTCTATGCTCCCAGTGCTAGGGAGACAAAGACGGGATAACTGGGACCTTGCTGGTCAATCTGTACTAATTGTCAAGCTCCAGGTTCAGTGAGAAAAATCAGGTCCCAGACTGTAAGGTGGAGGTCAACTGGGGAAGACTCTGGATATTGACCTCTGACCTCTACGTGCAAGAATGAATACACATGTGCATATGTATATACAACATACACACAACTACGTACATACACACTCGAATACCCCAAGACAAAAGAACCTTGTAAACTAGGCACAGCGGTGTGCCCTATATTTCCAGGAATCTGGCGGTCGAGGCTAGCCCAGGCTCCGTAATGAGCCCTTGTTTGAAAAACAAGAGAGGGAGAGGGAGAAAGACGTTCATGTTCATATACTTTATACGATCTTTCCCTGTGGAGTAATAGTATTTCACTTGACAGTCCAGGAAACCGAAGATGGCCAGATTTATGCCATCTGTGACTGTGTGGGCAAACTGGACATGTCATTCTTAAACTCTGCAGCTGAGGACCCCGGAGTTTTAGGTCCCACGCCCACCTGCGCAGTGACCGTGTTTGCTTCCCCTCTGCAGTCAGCCCCAGCAAGGAGATCAAGATCGTGTCTGCCGTGCGGAGGAGCAGCATGAGCAGCTGCGGCAGCAGCGGCTACTTCAGCAGCAGCCCGACGCTCGGCAGCAGCCCCCCAGTGCTCTGCAACCCCAAGTCCGGTGAGTTGGAAGGGGGTGCCCACGCTCCTGTCAGCGGAGGCTTGGGCCCAGGGGCAGGCTGAGTTCCTTGGGAAATAGACAGCAAAGGAGCAGGAGCCTTACCACAGCGGACTTGAGTTAGCATCGGTTGAACGGCTGGGGAAGAACAGCCTGTGATCCGGCTCCGTGGAAGCCTACTGTTGACCGGCGAGGCAGTCCTGCGCCGGGATGCCTTACAGAGTAGCCCTGAGAGAGCCAAGTCAGACATTCTTGTTGACCATTTTTTCGAGGTTGGTTCCCCTGGAAGGAAGGATGCCTTTGCTAAAGATAGCTGCCTTTAGAGAGATGGCTCTTGAGTCAGCAGAGGACTGTCCAACACCAGCAGCTGGGGTCAGCAGCTGAGAGGAAGGAGGTCCTTGACTCTTGAAAGGGCCTCAGCCCCTCCTCAGCAATGTGCAAATGCAGCAGAGAAAGAACTGTTTTCCCAGACCATGGCAAGCAAGGATCTATGTGGGCCTTGTGCTGTGTGTCCTTCCTTCCTTACTTTTTTCCTTCCTTTTTTCCTTCCTTCCTCCCTCCCTCCCTCCCTCCCTTCCTTCCTTCTTTTTTTCCTCCCTCCTTCCCTCCCTCTCTCCCTCCCTTCCTACAAAAATCTCTGATCACTACACGTATGCCATATCATAGTCTGTGTGTCTGTCTCTCACACACTCTCTCTCTCTCACACACACACACATTTTAACAAAGAAAAATATTAGCCACCTCTATACATTAGAATAATAAATATTTAGGAGTAGATATAAGTATCTGACCTCTCCTCTCCCAAAAGAACAAAGCCGTGGCTGCTGCCCAGCATCCGTATGTGCTGATAAGGGGGAAATCTTCAAGGATAATTCCGTGGCTCTCAAAGTTTCTGTTTGCCGACACAAGAAAAAAAATACATTAAAATAAACAGCCAGCCAAGCTGCCAAAAATATCATCATTTTTCCTAACCTCCTGAGGAGTCGCAGGCATGGAGAGGAACTTGTCTGCTAAGCAATAAGATCTCAACCTTCACACGCTCACTGCTTTTCCTACCTCCTCTCTGTCTCCCGAGACATTCGTTTCTCATCTTGATATTTGACCTACTCCCTCATCCTTAGCAAACACTGATTCCTTTTCAAAACTTTCTGAAAAAGCAAAAGCAGTAATCCCAACCACCTGTTCCCTGCGCAAGAGGCATTTCTTGACTCTCCTCTAGGAGAGTGCCTTTTAAGCCTGGAGCTCACCCAGCAATTGGGCCCAGCTGCCTGGGGACCCTGCAGGTCTGCCCCACGCTGCTGCACACTTGTTGGGTACCAGTGTCTGACCTCTGAATGAATGCCACTGGCAAAGGGAACTGGGGGCGGGTACTTGTCCAGATTGGACCCTGGCCCTGCCTCCCTTCATTTCTTTGTGGCACTTAAATCTCTGCTGTACATGTCCCCAAGTTAGGATGGTCCTTGTACCCTGTACCCACTAGCTCCACTGGGAGGGCTAGAACAACCCCCTCTCCAGCTCCAAATGATCAAAGAACGAACAGGGAAATTCATTGCTAGAGGATGGATGGAGAGGTTCATTACTGGGGGGGGGGTGTCATGCTGCTGTCTCTGTTGCCTTGGTAAACAACATCAGTGAGCTGAGAACACAGACAACACTCGACACTGTTATTCACAATTTCTGAGACGGCATAGCCCAGGAAGACAGCGATATGGTTGCTAAGAAATGGACCCCGGCACCCATGCCTGGATTTGATTCCTGTTTTTGCTACCCAGGCTTTAGCTCCAGCATCTTGGTCATGCACAGATTAATTTTTCTGAACCAGTTTTCTCACATATAAAATTAAGAAGAAAGAAAATTTAAAAAGCCATAACACCAAGCATTCTCTCTTTAAGCTTTAAGATCATCGGGCATTCACTTAAGTGGTTTTAGGATTTTCTATTGTGCCTTTAAGCTTTAAGATCGTCAGACACTTCTGTGGTTTTAGGGTTTTCTATTATGAGTTTATTATATCTAATATTGCTTTCAAAATGAAACAAGTGTGGTGACACACAGCTACAATACCAGCTCTGGAGACTGAAGCAGAATTGCAGAGAACTTGAGGCCCATCTGGGCTACATCGCATGCAAGCGAGACCTTGTCTAGATTAATTATTTAATTAACTAATTAATTATTGAGATTAGTACAGTGATGATCCAGAATCTATAGAGCAGTGGCTCTCAGCCCTGCTAATGCTGTGACCCTTTTATATAGTTCCTTCTGTTGTGGTGACCCCCATCCACAAACTTATTTTTGTTGCTACTTCTCAACTGTAATTTTGCTACTATTGTGAATCGTGATGTAAGTATCTGGTCTTGGGCAACCTCTGTGAAGGATCATTGGATGCCCAAAGAGGTCAAGGCCCAGAAGTTGAGATCCGCTGCTTTAGATCCATTAGATCAGGTAGAGATTAAATGAATAATGGATGTGACGGGATGCAGGGAAGTGGCTCAGCCCATGGAGAGTACGTAGGAGAGTTCCCTGGTCTGGCTCAGAGCGTGGTGCAGCCTTCTCATGTTTCTAGACTATTCACTAGAGGAAAGAATGAAGCTTAGTGAATGGGATGTGTGTAGTATGGTGAGGACAGGGAGTTGGATGGGGACGGCGTCTGCAGCGTGGTCATTGGGCTGCTGGAGTTTTGACAGATAGAGACACAGATAAGGCTTAGAAGAAAGAGCTGGGAGAACTAGAAGTAAACCCTTTTCCTTTAGAGGAAGACTCCATTCCTCCCGTTGCCCCCTCCCAAGGCATCTTAGTTTCTTTTCTCTCCCTTGCATCCCTGTGGTTCTAAAAGTTAGGCTTCAGCCCTTGGCTGGTACCTCCTGTCTGCTCAGCCAAAGGATAACCATGAGGTGGAGGTCTTTGCCACTTTTACTGGTTAGCAGTCGAGAGGCGGCGTTCAGGAAATCCCTGCTGAATGACCAAGAGAAGTACTTCGAGCTGTGTCTTCCCTGACCCTATGTCTGTCTCTTAGTGCTGAAGAGACCTGTGACTTCTGAGGAACTCTTGACACCCGGAGCTCCGTATGCCAGGAAGACATTCACGGTAAGACTGGCTCCTGTGCGCACCCACCTGTCAGCGTGTGGCCTAGGGATGAGAGGGAACACTTTTCTCCAACTCCCCTTCCTTTTTTTTTTTTTTTTTGAGATGAGGTCTCACTGTGTAACCCTGAATAGTCAGGAGCTCACTATGTAGACCTGGCTGGCCTTAAACTCACAGGAATCCTCCTGCCTCTGAATCCTGTGTGTGGTGATAAAGATGTGTGTTGGCACCCATCTTTACATGTATCTGCACATTCTGTTTTTTATATGGTTGTAGTCGTCGACTCTCTGAACGCCAATGCAGTGAAATGCATTAAAACCTTCCTTGAGAAGCTGGAGAGATGGCTCAGTAGTTAAGAGCACTGGCTGCTCTTCCAAAGGACCTGAGTTCAATTCCCAACACCCACATGACATCTCACAACTGTCTGTAACTCTGGTTCTAAGGGATCTGACACCCATGCACAGAAATACATGCAGGCAGAACACCAATGTACATAAAATAAAAATAAATAAATTGTTTTTTATTTATGACACTTTACATTCTTTTTTTAAAGTAAATTTTATTAAATTATAAAAGTTTCCACTTTACATTCTTTTTGATGTATTCTTTCAAACATCTACCACACACTTGTTCTAATATAATTATTATTATATATAATTATATCTTTTAAGACAGATCACAGTACAAAAAAATTCTTCTTCTTTACAGTTAATTATAAAAATCATTAAAGTGTTAAACGAATCCTAAGACGGAGAAGAAAGGAAAGAGTAGCCAGTGTGTATTGAGGTGTATAGCCCCCTGACTGGGGAGTCCTGCGTAGTGTCGTGTATCTGACTTGCCCTTTCTTAGTGTTCCCAAAACCTTCTTTCTGCCATCCCCAGACCCCACTGTTATATTCGAACAGAATATAAGTTATTTTTTCTGAAGGATCTCACACAGATCTCAAACTATGTTTAGCCAAGGATGACTTTGAATTTCTGATTCTCCTGCCTCCACTTCTGAAGTACCAGGACTGCAGACCACATTGGGTTCGTGCAGTTCAAACCGAGAGCCTCGCGCATGCTAGGCAAGTACTCTACTAAGAAACATCCCTAGGCCCGGTCACATGATCTTATCAGTACCATCTCCCCTATTGTGCTAGCTTTCTTGTCTCAGCCTACAACATCCACATCAATACGCTTTTGAAGAACACCCCTCCCCTTACTCTGTTTCCCAACTTCTGCTATTGCCTCAAGGAAGAGATGTTTTTCCATATATCCATTTACACCCCAGACTCTTGCTGAGGGCCCCTCCCATCTGAGCACTGAGGAGTTAACCTAAGAAGGGCTGTTATAATACGTCCGTATCAAGAGGAAAAGCCCACTGTACTTGAAAGTGAAGTTAGATATATTAAGTTCATAGTAGCGAATCCTGAAACCACAGAAGTCCCCGGTAGTCTAAAGAATTTCCACCTGAGTTCCTACTTGCCCTCTGCTTTTCCCCAGTCTCCAGCTGTTGAGAGGGGGCTGCTTTGAGAGCATTTGTTTTGCTTTCTATTTAAATGCCAGCATCACTAATACTTGACTTTGAGGGTGTTCATTGGCACATGTGCTAAGGATGCCTCTGGAGCCATCCTGCCAGTTCTGATTCTGTAGGAAAAAAATATGCGTCAGTGCCAAACAATGTTTGGACCAGAGTCTGTTTGCGACTTGTGAGTGAGCATTATCTGCTTTCTCACTTGGTTTCCTCGGCTGGGAAAACTGTCTTTCAAAAGAAGCCAAGACTCTTCCTGTCTCTCCATTAGTAGTTAAACTGTTCTTCTACACTTCGACATAAGCCAGGTCGAAGTCCGCCATTTGGATATAAAGGGAAGGTCATGCTGAGGTAGATATTGGATCTAGAGAGAAAGCACAGCGGTGTTCTTAAGGTCTTCTCAGACTCCTGTTGGGGTGTATATGAAGTTGGCTGTCGGCCCAGGAAGAGGCATGCTGCCAGCTGTTTACCGGGGAGGAACCTCCCCAATACAAACAGGTTATATGGCCCCACTACATTTTCATTCCCCTGACACGGTAAAGATGAAATAAAGAAAAAAAAAATATGTCAAGACTCATAGTTAATCCTGGGTCAGACTTTCCTCTCTTGGGAAGACAGGCAAACTGCCAGGGACTGTCGGCTGTTTGCTAAGTGTGGCTTTCCTCTCTAGATTGTTGGTGATGCAGTTGGCTGGGGCTTTGTGGTGCGAGGAAGTAAGCCATGCCACATCCAGGCTGTGGACCCTAGTGGACCTGCAGCTGCCGCAGGGATGAAGGTACGGTTGATTGATCGACTTCCTGTTCACTCTCTTCTGTCTTTTCTGTCTTCTTCAGGAAGCATTCATTGATTGTGCTTTTTTCCCTTAATTTCCACATTTCTTTATTTTCCCCATGTCTTACCCTCCCTACCCCAGAAAGAGTCAAGTCTGTAGAGCACAATGTCACACACCTGTAGTTCCAACACTCTGCACACAAAGGCAGGAGAATCCTCCTAAGCTGGCAAACCATCCAATCAGAAATCAGTTGTTTCCCCCACAGCAGCCATGCTTCTATTGCACCATTAGGCACGGCATACTTAGTAGGTTGGTATGATTCTACCACTGGGTAAGTGTAGTGGTGACTTCTCCTTCATTCCAGCATCGTTTCTGTCTGTCCTGAAAACCAAGGGTATTGTGTCTTCAGCAATCGCGCTTGCTATCTAGCTACAGTGGACAGCCAGGAGCAATGTCAAGAACCGGTGTTCTTTTAGGGCCTTTGGGGGCCTTCCAGGCTAATAACTCATAAGGAAATATCCCATGACTGGTGCTGAGATTCTTATTGAACAATCTGTGCATTCTAGGGGAAAGCATTGCACACAAATGAAGAGAACCTGTGTTCAAGTTCCTTTAAAAAAAAGTGTGTACTTAATTAGCATACAAAACAGTTGGTTTCCATAAGGGTTCTTCATACAGCCTTGGTTTTGATTAATGCACTTTTCAGCCCCTCTTCCCCTGGTCCTCCTCACTTTGTCCCTGCTCAAATCTATAACCCACTGTATTACCCACAGATGTGATTTTCTGTTTCAAGCATCTTTATCTAGCACAGTTTTGTTCCGTCCTCTACAAACATTTCACAGAGGATGTTAATCTTAGAGGATGAGAAGATTCCAAAGATTGGAAAGGCCGGGAGGTGGCGGCACACGCCATTAATCCCAGCACAGGCAGAGGCAGGCAGATGTCTATGAGTTCGAGGCCAGCCTGGTCTACAGAGCGAGTTCCAGGACAGGCCCCAAAGCTACAGAGAAACACTGTCTCGAAAAACAAAAACAAACAAATAAACAAGAAAAGATGTGAAAGTTCCACCATCCTCCCACACAGCCTTTCAGTGCTTCCATCCTCCCTGATCATATCCTTGCCTGGTGCTGTAAACCAGGGCAGCACTGACAACATGTAGATCACCGCCTATCTGGAGTCCAGTCTGTGGCTCTGGCTTTGGTTTGCACACGTTTTAAAGGAGGAATAGGCAGCTAAGCATGGCCCCCAGAAGCAGAGAGCAGTGTATCCCTGCTCTAGTTTAATTGTCTGACTCTCCTCACTCTGGAGAACACTTCTCACTAGGTCCTGAGCTCCACATGCTGCCAGCCTTCTTGGCTAAAGTAGCTAGGGTTAGGGTCCCTTCCCACAAGTGGATACAGAACCCAAGGAGCTCAGCGGGAGAGCTGCCTAGCGTTCCGAAGAACAAGCCCTTGGTTCCCAGCTGAGGCTGAGATTTTCATTTCCTAAGGAACTTTTGGCTCAAAGAAGGATTTTGTATTTTCCTTCCACAATGACTACCCAGTATAAATTATGTTTGGCACACTCCTTCAATGCTGAGCATGTACCTCTTCACATGAAGAAGGACTTGGCTTAAAACCCATATCCTTTGAGCAGGAAAGCAGTGGATTCACGTGGCAGCTGAAGACCTTGCTCTGCCCAGCCAAGCAGACTGGGAACTTAATTGCTTTCGGTCCGTGTCGTGGAATTAACTGTCGAATCACTTTGCTAGGCATTGACAACTGGTTAATTAGCTAACTCTTTATGGGCCTGAAGAATTGCTGGCCTAACTTTCTCCTGTTTTTTATAAGCTAATCGTTGGTTTGGTTCATAGCCCTGTCTTCTCTGGAGGTATATGACGGTTCTCATGTGCTCCGGAGCGGTACAGAATGGCTTTTCTACCACTCCACTGTACAGCATTCTTGTTCAGCAGCACATCCTGCCCTGAACATCCCTGCCCCAGCACCTTCTGTCCTCTTCCTGAAAATTAGCCAGACACATTCGATACATTAGCATATACATGACCCTTCTAAATCTGTGCGGGGGGGGGGCACTGTGTGGTGGTAAATCATATTACCCATTAGTTTATCATGTAAGGGAGACACCAGTGCCTGCCTGTAATTCTGTGACACAGGGCAGAGGATCAGGAAGATTGTGAGTTCAAAACCAGCCTGTGCAGCTTAGTAAGACACTGATAGGAGAGAAGGTGGCTGGGGACATAGCAAACATATAAGATACTTGGCCAAACTGCATGTATGTATGTGCGTATGTATGTATGTGCGTATGTATGTATATGTGTATGTATATGACTGTGTATAAATATGTATGTATATATGTATGTATCGGACTCTGCGTGTGTATATTCTACTATATGTTTGTCTGATTTTGTTTGTTTGTTTTTTAAACAAATGTTCCATGTATCCCAAACTGGCCTCAAACTCATGATATTCTGGTCTCTACCTTCCAACTGCTAAACTTATAGGTGTGTATCCCACGCCCAGTTTAGGAATTCCTTTTTTTTTTTTTTTTGGTGTTGGGAGGAGGACAGGTCAAGACAGGGTTTCTCTGTGTTGCCTTGGCTGTCCTGGAGACTGCTTTGTAGACCAGGCTAGCCCTGAACTCAGAGATCTGCCTGCCTAGCTTTGCCTCTGTAGTACTGGGATTAAAGGCATGCATGATACTTTCTAATCATGCTGCTGATTACGGTGAAAATGATGATGAATGTCATTTGATCATCTAGATTGGCTGTGTCTATTCACTACGATGGTAAATGTCATTGTGTCCTATTGATGAGCTGTGTCTATTCACTAGAAATTTTTTGTGTACTCTCTTACCTAAAGCACTGAGTGAATTATCTCCTATTAACAAGTATGTTGCTACTGAATGGTTTCACTTCCATAGTAAGCCATTGTGGGTGAGTGAGATGGCTCAGCAGGTAAAGGTGCTTGCCTGCAAGCCTAGTGACCTGAGTTCGATCCCACCCACATGGTGACAGGAAAGAACCAATTTTCACAACTGTTCTCAACCTCTTTCAGTTGTCCTCTGAGCATGATACATGTGCTATGACATGTGTGCATACAAACAGGCAAATAAATAAATGTAAAAGTGAATTATATAAACTAGTATTCATAGCTTATATCCTTGTTGGCTTCATACAGGAGGACTTGGGGTTTTATTGATACAGTATTGGGTATAGAACTTTAACAGGGTATCACTGGAGAAAGATCTGTGGACCTGGGTATTTACTGACCTTGGTTGTGAGGGTAGAGATTTTCCAGTGTGACTTAAGGAAGAGCTTAGTGGTAGAACATTTGCCTCTCTGTGTAGTGTGTAGTGCTTTAGGTTTAAGACCCAGTACTGGGGTTGGGGGCGGGGGGGACAGTGGAAGTGGAAGTAAGAAAATGAAAAAAGAAATTACCTTGTGTTCAGGACAGATGCCTCTTTAAATTTAAAAAAAATATTATTTTCGTTTTGTGTGTGTGTGTGTGTGTGTGTAGGTGATGATTAGTGATAATGGTCAGCTTGACCTGATCTAGAATCACCTAGGGAGTATCTGTGTGGGATTGTTTAGGTTGGGTTGGTCTTTGGGCATGTGTATTGGGGTTGTCTTGATTTGCAGTATTCAAGGTGAGAATAGCTGTCTACTGTGGGTGGCACCACTCCCTAGGCAGGGGATTCTGAACTGTGTTAAGTGCAGAGAAAGCAAGCCAAGCAGTAGCATATACATATGTATTCATTGCTTTCTGTTCCTGATTATGTACCTGATAGACTCCCTTCTTCTGTGAACTATCACCCAGAACTATAAGCCAAGATAAGCCCTATCTTCCTAAATTGCTTTTGTCAGGGTGTTTCTGTCACAACCAAAAAAGACACTCAGGCAATGTGTGTATTCGGGTGGTATCTTGCACATATATTTGTGTTTGGATGTGTATCAGAGGAGGGCATTGGGTACCTTCCTCTGTCACTCTTTACAATAGTCCCTTTTGGCTGGATTTCTCTCATCTTACATCAAGGATAGCAGCTAGTGAACCCCCGGGATCCTCTTGTCTCTGCTTCCTCAGTGCCAGGATCATAGGCACATGAATCACATAGAGCCTTTATGTGGGTGCTGTGACCTGAACTCTGGTCTTCTGCGATACAGCAAAGGATATTATCTGCTGAGCCACTTTGCCAGCTCCCTTCCTTTTGGTCTGTTTGTGACAGGGTCTCTTGTGCCCCCACTCTGTGGCTATCACATCACGTCTAACCCTGGTTCTAGACCCCGATGAATTGATGATCATTTTGCAGGCATCCTTGGTGCAAGTTGAGTCAGAGTATTTCCGTTTCACAGATACCTCATGATCGCTCCATGTCTGGCCCTTAAAGTAAATCTAATTAAGGAGCTCTGGCACTTAACATGCACTAATGGCTTCCTGTTAAGTGCCAGATGTAGCCAGAGAGTCCTTGATCTGGGCCCTGCCCATCAGAACCTTATCCCTTGCCCTGTGTCCCTCACAGTCCCACGGGCTTTCTTTGTAACTTCCAAACACTAGGTGCATTCCTGCCCTGGGTAAGCAGGCTAGATCCACTGTTGTCTTCCGAGTCTTAGATATGAATGCTAGCTTCTCAGGTAAACCTTCCTTAACAGGTAAACCTTCCTTAACTATGCTGTGAGATTTCTCCCCTTTCATTCTGTAGTTACTCCTTATTGTACAACCCTGTTGGTTCAGCCATCTCAGGCAATAACAAAGATCTTAGAGACTGGGTCTTTTAAACAGCACACATTTGTTTAAAAATCTGATGTCAAGGTGCTGTATGTGGTAGGGGTCAGTTTCTTGGCTTATGGAGCAATGTCTGTCTTTTTTTTTTTTTTTTGCAAGAACAAGCTCTCCTCTCACTTGTTATGAAAATGCTAATACTCTCCATGAAGGCACCTGCATGACCTAACCACTTCCCATAAGCCCCGCCTACTGATACCATCCCACCTAAAGATAGGAATTTAGCAT